CAGCATTATTCACGGTGGCCAGGACATGGAAGCAATCGAAGTGTCCTACAATAGATGATTGGCTAAAGAAGCTGTGGTACATATATACAATGGAATATTATTCACCAATAAGAAGAGATGAAATATTGCCATCTGCGATAACATGGATGGACTGCGAAATAATCATGCTAAGCGAAATAAGCTAGACAGAAAAAGTTGACAATCACATATCACTTATATGTGGGATATAAACCTAAAAGCAACAAATGAGCGGGACAAACAGAGACTCAGGGACATAGACTATAGACTAGTGGTTACCAGAGGACTATAGACTAGTGGTTACTAGTGGGGTGGGGGAGGAGGGGGGAGGTAGATGGTGTAAAGGGAGTCAAATATAGTGGGATGGAGGAGCGCGGAGTGGGTAAAGGGGATCAAATAAATGGTAGCTGAAGGAAACTGGACTTTGGGTGGTAAACACACAATAGAATATACAGATGTCAAATGATAATGTACACTTGACAATTATATAATTGTATTAACCAGTGGTACCTCATTAAACTTAATTTTAAAAAAAGATAGGAAAAGTAAAATGGATTATTCATTTAATTTTTTTCTTTTTTCTTTCCTTCTTTCTTTCTTTTTTCAGAACAGTTTTGTGGTTTTGTTAGTTTTCATGGGAAAATGTATTTAGAGATACCCTGTCTTTGAACACACATGTGAAATCCTTTGTGGCAAAACTATAGAAAAATTGTCTGACTTAATTTGTGGAAATGGAATTTTGTTTTGTCAAGCACTGTGTGAAATTAGGTTGCCATCAGCTAGAGCCAACATCCACATATACACACAGAGAGAGATTTCCACTCCAGTGGTAGTTGTTTGGGGATTTTATGGGTGTTGGCTGCCAAAGACATCTGTCTGTGGTTGCTCCCAGCTCTCTTTGCCCATGGTTATGGGAACTGGTCTCACTGTTAATGCAAGACCTTTTCTCTCTACTGGAAAGGAAAAGCAACTTTATAAAACTAGTTTGGGGCCAATTCTGTTATTATTGTCTGGTTCTGTTGCTGAGGGGGAGTGCTAAAGGGGAAATCATTGGCTGCCCTCAGGTATCTGGGCTCATTGAGGAACTGAGCATGCATATTAGGCTTAAAGAGGATTAAAGAAATTTATAAAGAAACAAAATAACTCTGGTTGGAAATTCATTGAGATAAAATAGGGATCTAGGTATGACCCTTTATCTAAATCCCATGCAAGTGAGGGTTGTATTAATTAGGCAGTTTAGGTGGATAAACCTGGACCACATTAGCATGCATCTTAAATTGAAAGCTCTCTGAAGACCAAGGACAGCAGGTCTGAGTAATTTTTACTATATAGCTCCCGTCACATAGCCCTGCACTATTAAGCTTGTAGTACATTTCTGGGTGAGGTTGAAGATGTGCCGACCTGCACTGTCTTTTTGGGTATTCTTTTCATCAGCGTCTTTTGGTTTGTTTATACTCTTCTGTCCAGAAATCTGTGTAAGGTTTGGCTCCTCCTGCTTTGGTTTCACCTAAAAGAGGAAAAGAAAGAGCTTGAATCAGACGGAAGTGCTCATCACCCACCCCTGAATGATTGCCAAAGGGGGAAAAAAAGGAAAAAAAATCCTTGATATCCAAATATCACTGCTGGGAGCATACAATACTATTAACAATGAAAATTATTTCCAATGGCATCTATCAGCTGGTGATCATTCAACCTATTGGAAGTGGTCCACCTACATTTCAAGTTTCTGATCTCTGAGTGATATGCTGCAGGGAACTCTCCAAAACACCCTGGAAAACACTGAACCACAATGCAAGGCCATAAATCTGAAAATAGGGGGTTGAGCCTGACAACAATCATATTCTTGGCAACACTGGAATTTTGAAACTTGCTTCATCAGACCTGGGAGACAAATTCAAATCCTGTTTGGCTTTTTTTCAGGGAATTTAGTGAAAACATGAATTATGTCTTTCTATCGCAAAAGAAGAAAGAGGATTGGGGTTTTGTTGAGAAAGAAGAGAGAAAAAGATAAAGCATTCAGTCCTTATATTTAAGGGGTTGAAGTTGTTTTAGTATAAACAAGGTTTCCAGATAATTACGGTGAAGCTTTGAAAATGTCAGAGTAGCACTGCATTGAACAGTGTCCAGAATTCGCATAATGTAAGCCTTTATGAGTGTGTCTAAAGACAAACATACAACTTTATGAGCCCATTTGAAGTGCCTGTGCAAACAGACTCAACTCAAAATTATTTACTTTTGAGTGAATGAGGTCAAGTAGACCTGGATTCAAATATCTGCTCCATCATTTACTCTCTGTGTGGCCTTGGGCAAGTTATTCTCTAAATCTCTGTATCCACATCTGTAAATAAAGGGTAAGGGGAAACCTCCTGTAGAAATTCCAAAGCAGAAGAAAGTGGCAGCAACCTCTGTGTTATATATTATGCTGGACTCTTATATTCATCCATGTGTCAGAGAGAGTCACAAGTGAGAAGTTGTCCCCACCTTCTTAGAGTGTGCTACTCAGGCCTTTCTTCAATTAGGTTATGCAGAGAGACGAAAGAAGTGTCGCACTAAGTTTCCCTTAGCCAACATTCCCTATTTCCCAGGTTTGTGGTGAAGTGTCCAGTGGATCATGCATATATTGGGTTTAGTGCATAAATTGGTCACTAGAGGGCCCCCTGGACCCACCACCCTGCCAATTGTTTTTTCAACTTGTACTTTGTTCTCTTTCTAAAGCTAAATTGAGATGTCTAAGGAGAGGGGAGCAGAAGGGTGGGGTGAAAAGAGTACTGGATTGGAAGTCAGAAGACTGGGTTCTGGTCCTAGCTCTGCCACCACCAGTTGACATTGGACAACTATTTGTGCTTTAATGTCCATCCCTGTAAAATGCTTTAACTGGGAAAGTTTTTAGCGTCTATCAGCTCTGATTTTATAACCATTTATAAATCATAGTCACTGAGGAATTGGGTATTTGACCAAAGTGAATCTTCCAGCTGATACATCCTTATAAACATCAATATCTTTTAATTCTTAACTTTTAGTAAAAATCTTTTCCAAAGGCATTAGTTCCCTATTTTCCTAAATAGAGATCAGGGGACATAGTTTAAGGGTTTTGCTTTGGTTTTTTTTCTGTTTTTTTTGTTTGTTTGTTTGTTTGTTTTGGGTTTTTTTTTTTGATGACTTGGACAAATAATGAACATGATCTATTATATTAGACTATAACACAGTGTGGCCCTGAGGGACTTATAACAGTGCGCAAGATTCTTGATCCCTATACCAAATATATGTCACTTTTCATTGCTGTCAGATCCCTGAATCTGATCTGGGACCATGATTTTAACAGAATTGGCTCACCTAAGTATAGCTCTGCCTGCGAGAAAGTAATGTGACAGGAGATTGTGACACCGATGTGACACTGAGCGAGCTTTGGAGTTTTCAGCGGATCTTTGGAAACATGACAGAGTGAGAGACGTCCCCAGATCTCTCCCCTTGAAACAACAATAAGCTGAACATCTAAAACACAACCAAAAAACACCTAAACGGCACACCAGCACGACTGAGTGTGGGATCTGTGCGTAAGAGCTAGCACAGGTCAGAACCCTGGGTGTCATGTGGTGAACTGAGAGAAATAAAGAAGCTGCCTTTCGCACCCACCAGACCTACCTGTAGGAAGAGGAGAGGGGGAAAAGGAGTGGCAAGTTCTTGCCACGTGTTCCCTGAACAGCTCTGCCTGTGACAGTTGTGAGTTCTCGTGGCTGGCTGGCTGCAGAGATCAATATCAGGGCAGAAAGCAGAGAAGCAGCCAGCAGAGAAACAACAGTTCATTTTTACCAGCCGGATTGCAAAACCGAGGCTGAGCCACAGCCCCCAACCCCCAACCCACAGGGCCGATCCCCCCATACCCTCAGTGATGGAACACCGTGGAGCCCAGGGGAATCTGAGCAAACAAGACCAAAACTATTGCTAACACTTACAGTGACGGAAACTGAGGGTAGTGAGCGTGATTAAATATCTATCGGAAAATAAAAAGCCATTTTTAAAGCTTTGTATAAAGCAGGGATCCAAGAGGCTTAGAAGGCACCTACTGGAAATCAAAAGAAAAGCACCTTCTTTGCAACAGACAAAAGAGAGAACTTTATATAATAAATCTTTCTGGAAAAACAGCAGAATAAATTTCCATTAATGACCAGGTGGAGAAATAAGCCATTAAACACCATGAACAACCAAAGTGGCAAGGCATCTCAGAAAGAAAGAGAAAAATCTCTAGAAAATAAGCTTACAGACATAGATATATGCAACTTAAATGAAAGAGAATTCAGGGTGGTACTTCTAAAAAATACTTGGTGAGTTCCAAAATGAGACATATCAACAATTTCGGGAATTGAAAAAACACCTAGATGAGCAGAGCAAGGAGATTGAAACCCTCAAAAAGAATAGAATAGATCTTCTAGAGATAAAAAAAAAAAAAAGAAAAAAAAACTGCAAGAGTTAAAAAATAAAAAAGCAAGATTGGGAAATAGAGTCACCC